GCTCATCTGCAGAGGACAGGAGAAGCGGGACATGGTCCGAGCCAATCCGGGTGATGGCTCGAAGGGAAGCTAAGGGACAACGGAGGTCCCAATCCGGGGAAACTAGGACCCTGTCCAGGACGGACTGGGTCGGGGAGGCCTGCCGATTGGTCTAGGTGAACCTAGCACCGATCCTATCAATCTCGCGGAGACCAAGATCAGCAATGAAGTCATTGAGCATTTGCATCCGCGCAAAGTTGACATTAGCATTGCTCTTGTCTTCCGTGACGCGAAGGAGGTTAAAATCGCCTCCAACTACCACTGGAAGAGAGGCCACGGAGATCTTCTGGTGGAGCTCCTCGAGGAAGGCGGCAGACCGACTATGGCCTGCCGATCCGTAGACGATGATGACCTCCCACTTGAAGTTAAGGGACCTCTCGAACAGCTCCATGCTCACAAATAATTCCCCCAGATCCATGCTACCCACCTCAAAGATGGCGTCCTTAACGCCTAAAAGGATGCCCCCCGAGTGGCCGGCGCTCCCACTAGAAGGGAGCCAATGACACACAAAGAGGTGGGAGCTCAGGCGGTCAAGCTCAGGAAGCGAGAATTCGGAGCGCATGGTTTCTTGGATCGCCACAATGTCAATGTGTTCATCACGCATGTCTTCCAGTAGTTAGCCATCATGGCCAAAACCACGGATGTTCCAGAAGAGGGCACGCATTACGACGCCATTGGGGGGCTGCTTGACCCCAGGACTCGAGAAGCGCTTTGAGCACGGAGGGCCGCTGTGCGGGAGCGGGTGCGGCAACGGATTTCAGCTCCCGCAAGCGGGAGAAGGCCACCAGTCCGCCTCGAGGGTGCAGGGGAAGAAGTCTCGTCGGCTACGGAGGGGACGAGAGGCAAAAGAAAGGTCGCACGGGCCTACGCAAGCCATTCGTCAAGAATCTCGCGGGCCCTAATAGCCTCGATCAGGACTAAGGGGGGACCAACATCCCCCCTAAAGATGATGGCGGGGTCAGAAGCAACCTTCGCGAGGTTGCCGAGGGGAATAGACTCGAGGGCAGAGAAGGAACACGACGAAGCCGAAGGGGGAACGGCAGGTGTACCTGGCTCCAGGTTCCGAGCAGCAGCACGGAGCTCCGCCCGCTCGGGGATGGGCAGAGGCGCACTACCCTCGGGGTGAGCGGCATCCAGCCTAGCGCTCCGACGGGACGCGACCACCGAGGAGGAGGCCGACCGACCGCGACGAGAGTAGGCCACAGAACGTGGAGGGGGAGGTTGGGCGGCCATGGGGATGGTCACCCGTGCCTCCCCATCTGTGGCCAGGGCCTCCGCGGGTGGAGCCAGCAGAGCAGACCCGGTGCAGCCGAGGAGCAATGGAGCCGGAGAAGCGCTCGGTGACGAACACAGCAGGGACGAAGGGGGAGCAGAGCTGCACGAGGCCGGGACCACTAGGGGGAGCGGCGGTGGAGTCGGCGACGCGACCGGAGGAGGCTGTGCGGCCGTAGGAAGGGAAGTCGGAGGAGGGGCATCCTCCTCTGGCGGCACAGCATCCTCGGGGGCCACCACCGAAGTCGGCAAGAGCAGGCTGGGGGTCGGAGCGACGTCGGGGGCTGGCCCGACACCGGGACCTGTGCGACAGGAGTCGGCGAGGTAGGAGAGCGAGGGAAAGAAGCAGGGCAGATGACCAGGCCGACACTGGATATGTCGCTCGCCACTGATGACGTAGCCACCGAGTCCGAAGGGCCGTCGAGGAGCTGGCTGGGCGCGGCCTGGCGGCCCTTGCCCCCAGCTGCAGGAGGGGGGAGGGGGACGGAGAGCGGGAGTGAGAGTCCTCCGAGCCCCCCTCCTCCTCCGAGCGGTGGGAGCGAGGACGGTGACGACCGTGGTAGTCCCCGTCGGTCCCCGGGTTGCCACCGGGAGGGCCAACGTCGAGGGAACGGAGGCGGCCGACGTGGTTGGGGGGCTCGGGGGCGATCCGGAGGTCAAAGCCCTGGTCATTGAAGAACACTCAAATGGTGGCGCGGAGCTTGGAGGAGTCGAGGCACTTGACCTTGACCCGGACCTCCGCCTCCTTGCGCAGTGAGAGCTCATCGACGACCACCACCTTGCCCAAGATCCGGGACATCTAGCGGATGACGAGCTCTGACCGAGCAATATCGGGGAGGCCGGCCACAAGGATCCAGGCGTTGTCGAGGACGGCCACGGCCTACGCATCGAGGATCGGCTCAAAGATGTCGACGACAAGCTGGTTGAGGGCGAGCGTGATCCGGCCACTGCGAGTGGCGTAGCCGTAGCTGATGGAGTCGGGGAAGACAACGGAGAAGATGTGGCCAGCGGTGGGGGTGACCACCCAGTCCCACTGGCGCCGGTAGAGGTGGTTGAGCTCGGCCTCAATCATCTCCGGGGAAGCCACCCCGTCGACCACCGTGACGACCGCCTGGAGAGTGGGAGTGGGAGGAGGCACGTCGGGGACTTCGAGGTGGAAGAATCCCAACCCCTCGATGCCATGGCCATACATCATGAGCTGCGACACCACCGATCTATCCGGACACAGGAGGGCGGGATGGCCTGGATCCTTGCAGAGGTAGCAGCACCGGGGTTGACACAATCAACTTGCGAGTGGCCAGCCACCCCGTAGTTGAAGCAGGGGGCGGGGAAGGCCAGAGACGGGGCCGGGCACGGACGAGGATCCCGGGGCCGCCAGGAGGGGGGTGCGGGCGGGGCGCCACGAGCGCCATGACACTTCTTCTTCTTGGCCGGACCCGAGCGCCCGCGAGCAGCGCCACCGCCCATGGCTGTTGCCGCAGCCAGGGCCACGGGAACAGACGTGTGGGGCCGCACAAAGCACCGAGTAGCAGGGGCCTTGGTGGCGAGGGGAGGCGGGACGCGACGTTCGGGGCGGGGAGGAGGACCTGCCGTGGCGAGGCGCAGGGGAAGGGGACCGGCGACGAGCACGCCAGTCCCCCGAGGCAGACGGGCGAGAAGAACGGGAGCGGCCCCGACCCTCACGGCGGTTGGGGAGCGGCGGTCGTCGCGACGGCCCTCGCGGAGCTCATGGAGCTCCCGGTGGAGCTCCTCCTCGCGCCAGAGCGCGTCCGGCGAAGGGCGGGAGGAATCGCGGTGGTCGTCCGCCCTCCGCTTGATCCTGGAGGCGCCGTCGTCCCAATCCCGTGGCATAGCTAGCCGCGGCAGGGGAGGAGGGGCGGGGGGGACTCCGCGGCCGGATGGAGAGAAGGGGAGGAAGGCGCAGCGGCGGGGGAGATCGAGGGGAGGATGGACAAGGAGCTGGCGGTGGCGGCAAGGGAGGGAACTGGGAGCCGAGGGAGACCAAAGGGGAGCCAAATGGATGAGGCCACCGCCCTGGGCCTAGGGCACCCCAGTGGGCCAGTTCCCGTGGGCCGGCCCAGTTGGAGGGCAGACCGGACAGCCTCGGGGCCCAGAGACCGTGCGGGGCCGGGGCCCAAGATGCCAGGCGCGGGGGAGGCCCGGTCCAGGAGGCGGGGCAGCACCGGCCCCCGTAGGGTTTCCCCCGAGGAGCAGGGCGCCGCCGCCGCCGCCGGCACGGCACCGGCGCGGGCAGCCACGGGCAAGGTGCTTTTGCCCGTTGACATCTTGACACCTCCTCGAATAAGAGCTCTATATATGTGTTTAACCTCACCTGACTAGTACGACAAAAAGGAACACACAACGACAATAACTTCCATAGAAGAGCGCAAACATGATCTTCAAAGTTTACTATGTTTTGGAGAGTCCAAATTCCCCAACAAACTGCATTGATGCACAACATGTAAAAGTTTTTCTCACTGAACAAGAAAAAAATCCGTAAAATTAATAATGAGATAAAACATGTACCGATGAATGGACAAGAAAACCCCAAAAAGTGAAATTCTATACGAATATCCGCGTATAATTAGACGGTTATTGAGTTGAATTAGATTTATTGTCTGAGAATGAGCACGACCGTAAAAAGAAATAATTTGTAAGATCCTTCGACGGATTGCTCTCTGCAAAATAATAATACACATTCTTCACCTGGATTCTTACCAGGAAACTGGACCTCAGTCCATGCATATTCATGCTAAACCTCTTCCCTTTAGCATCCAAAGGGGCTATAGATGATGGTGCTGTTTTAGTGTGAAACCATCGGATGACTCATCTTCGTTAGCACCTCATCTTCATTAGCACCCTTCATGGGGTAAGGAATAGTTTTCTTTGTTGGGTTCAAATTTGGAACGAATCAATGATGCTCTCCTTTGCTTCCATGCTCTGTTTTTTTTTTTTGCTTAGGGAAGATGGAACCGGTATCATCGGCAAACATCGGAGGTTCATGTCCCTTTCGCATCTCCTTCACGCGCAAACGCTTGACTTGACTTCTCACTGCTTACTGCCAATTTGGTTTCGCAGGGTCCTTTTATCAAACAGAGAGCTTTGTTGTTATAGATCTGGTTTTATCAATATTGTAAAACCATCTCTCTCTTCTTGGATATGAATGTGTCTGGATTTGAGTAGTAATCTTTTTTCTAAAACAGGGTTTTTCATCATATACTATTTTCATAATGCATCTCAAATTTCTTCTTCGAAATCATATATTTTTTCATCATAGAACGCTCGATTTCTAGCTGGTCAATATCTGCATTATCTCACCTTGGAGTCTTGTTCATTCAACCAGAGCATGAAAATGTTGGGAAACCAAAGACAAGTAGTATGATTGTTCTGTACAAAAAGGCAAGTTTGTGTTCCCTTTATTGAGACTTGGAATTTACAAGACCCATAACTTGTGGAAATGCTAGAAAAGGTGAAGTTGCCACCCCCAACATTACAAGCGACACCATCACCATGGACGCCCAACACACGCCTACAACTTTGCAGAAGACAATGAAACTACAACAAAGCATACAAATGAACCAAAGAATTTCACTCGACCGATCGATTGATCGCCTCTTGTCGCCGCCCGCGGATGCTTGAGCACATGCTCGGCGAGCGGCGAGGGCCGCCCAAGTTCACCTAGCCTTAGACTAACTGAACTGAACACTGACACACATTCTTGCGTAGATAGTAGTGGTGGTGATAGTAGTAGTGGTGCTGGTTAATGTACACAGCTCAAGCCCTGCTCCTCCTGCATCTTCATACTTGATGACATTTTAGCCTGCCATGTCAGTACATCTGGAAGCCGAAGCAGCCATTCTGGTCGGGGAGCTCGTCGACGATCTGGAGGTCCAGCTCCTGGTTGCTCTGGAACCAGAGCGGCGTCGCCGGAAGCGGCGGCGGCGCGACCGGCGCTGCGTCTGAAAACAAGAGCGTTTTGAACATTAGACATTATAATTCAGAAGAAAAGCAGAGCATATTTCAGGAGCGGAAGGAATTGTGGTCAGAGGACGTGTTGCTTACTCTGCAGCATTGGGAGGCTGTTGCTGCTGCTGCTGGCGTGGAGGAGCATGGCGGCCGGCAGGGGCTCGGCCTCCTGGAGGCTGTGCCGCTGCTCGAACGCCTCCACGAACAGCTGATGCACGTACGCCTTCTGGGCCCTGGTGAGCTGCTGCGCCGCGCACTGGACGCCGGCGAACTCGAGCCTGACCAGCTGGCAGAGGGCGTTGACGTAGACGGTGGCGCCGTGCTGCCCGGCGTACGCGTACACCTTGTCGCCGGCGTCGCACGTCCTGGCGTGGCTCGTGGTCACCTCCCACATGCGGTCCGTCATGCCGTCGCCCATGATCGCGCGCAGCATTTCCGGCTTCACGTTGAGCATCCGCACGAACTCCTGCACGGTCTCCACGCCGTTCTGCCGCAGCTTCCGGTGGAAGGCCCCCTCCTTGCCGATCTTCTCCAGCCGCCACACGTCGTCGGTGAGCGCCGGCGGGTAGTGCTTCCGGTACACTGCAAGCGTACAGCACAGAGATAATGAGCACGCGCAGTTCACGTCAAATTTGAGCGCAAAAAGAGAGAGAGAGCGTCGGAGTTCGCGTCGACGTACGTTCACCGCGGTGATCACGGACGTTGAAAGCATCGGTCATGGCCTCGGCGACCCTGCCGCCCTCGTAGCTTCCCGGCACCACGCGCGCGCCGATGCGGAACTTGCGGCAGCGGACCCAGGAGGAGTTGTCGGTGAACTGGAGGTCGTTGACGACGGCGCGCCCGTCACGCATGGTGAGGCCGACGTCGCCGGTGAGGAGCGGGCGCTTCCCGGCGCGCTCCTTGACGACGCCTCGGGCGAACTCGCCGGTCGTCCAGTCCTCTCGGCCGTCCGGAGGGAAGTCCCCGAAGAGCGGCACCAGCTCGACGCGCATGAACTGCGGGAGCGCGCCGCAGGGAGACCCGGTGACCGCCTCGACGAGGACCACCTGGAGTGGCTCGCCGTTCGCGTCCTCGATCTTGCTGCCGGTGAAGATCGGCAGCGCCGGCGGGCGCAGGAACGCCAGCCTCCACGCCGGCCGCTCCGCCGCCGGCGGCGTCTCCGGCGAGGACCTCTCGATGTACCGCGGGCTGCGCACCAGCCCCGCCTGGATCTCCTCCTGCACCTGCGCGCGCGCCACCAAGAAACGGAGCAACCGGTCAGAACACTCGATTCCAAGAACAGAGCAAGCATCGAGACAAGCAGCAATCTGGTGAACGGCTCTGCTTACCACTCGGCGCAGGAGAGGCTCCAGCACCAGGAACACACTCTGCACCTGCTTCATCACCATGGCCTCCCGGATCACCCTGGAACCCCAAACGCACGCACGCCATGGAATCAGCAAAGACCTCCATGGATGAACAGAACACACGACGAACCAAGAGGCGGCGGGCTGGAAGGAAGCTCACGTGGAGAAGGAGACCGAGCGCTCCATCCGCTTCTTCTCGGGCTGGTCGGGGTCCTGCTCGAAGCCGTCGTGGAGCCGCTTGTGAGCCGCCATGTCGATCGCCGGCGCCGCTGCTCAAGTGCAAACAAACTACAGTTTCTTTCGCTCTCTCCTCCTCGTCGGCGTATCTATTTTCTGGAGCTGGAAGGAGAAGGAGAGGGAGAGAGGGTGGATGTGTGGGTGTGTTTTGCCTCGAGAGGACGAGGGGTCGGCCGGCTTATATAGCCGCCGCAATGGCGGAAGGGGCGGGAAGGTGAGGGGAAGGTTCCGGGAAGGTGTGAGGAAGAAGGGTTTGCTTCAGTTCGGAGTGCCCGAGCCCGAGTGATGTAATGACCCGATGTCATAGACTGGCTCACGATGCATGGTCAAGTCCCTCTCAACGCGCGTCGCCGCCGGCGGAGCCCTCCGGCGAGCGCTTTCGGCGTGTGCGGCGCACAAGCGGCCGTCGTTGTGTACACAGGTAACAATATTCAGATGCTGACAAATGGATTCTCCAGCATATGTTCTGATCTCACGAGTGAAACATGTGAGGCTCGTTGACACTTTTGGTCTTGGCAACTTTGAGGGGGTACAACGTTCACGGAAAAAAAAAGTGAGCCAAAATGTTTCGAGAGATGTTCAGATATTATTATGAGTATTGAAGCATTGAGTGCCCGTAGTATCTAGGCCTCACATGAACCACCCATGGCAAGCCATGTGAGGTCTAGATGCTACGAGTACTCAATGACTTTAATGCTTTTGTATATATTATCATGACTAGACATGGACTTATATGTTTTGTCATGAACATTAATTGATCAGGACAAGGCATGTGAGGTCTAGATGCTATGAGCACTTCATGATTTTGATCTATTCATATGTATTGTCATGACTAGATGAGTGACACATCAACTCATATGTCTTGAGCATGAACATTGGTTATGACAAGACATGTGAGGCATCGACTCATATGTCTTGTTATGAACACTTATTGGTCATGACAAAACATGTGAGGCATCGACTCATATGTCTTGTCACAAGCACATATAATGCATTTATAAATGGCTCATCGTGCAATTGGCTCAGCATTATATCTGTTATTCTCTCGAGTTATCATGGCCACTTGTGTCAATGAGCAACAAGTGAAATCCAAACATTTGTCGATAAACCTCACATGTGAAGTTGAAACACATGTCGGTGAACACCCCCCCCCCCCCTCTCAAGTTA